TGTATGTGTGTGTGTGCTGCGTGCGTGTTGCTGCATGTGTGTGTGCGTGCATGTGTGTTGCTGCGTGTGTGCGTGTGTGTGTGTGCACGTGCGTGTTGTTGCGTGTGTGTGTGCGCGTGCGTGTGTGTTGGTGCATGTGTATGTGTTGTTGCGTGTGTGCTCCTACCCTCGCACTGATGCTGCGTGTGTGCGCTATTGCCCCCCACACACATACCACATGAGGGGCAAAAGAGTCTTTTCGGGTGTCATTTAGGTTTAAAATGGACGGAAATGTCATATAAGGAATAAAATTTAGAACTTGTGTCAAATAGGAAAGAAATTTTTTTCCAGTGTCAAATAAGGAAGCAGATTTTAAGATAATGTTAAATAAGGAATTTTTTCTTTTTTGTTTGCCTATTGTTCTCTCTGTGATATTTTCAAGGTCCCAATGCAGTTTTTTTTCTCTGTTACTTTTTTCTTTCTTTTTGTTTTCTCTCCTTTTCTTTTTCTTTTTCTTTTTCTTTTTCTGTTTCGTTTCGTTTCATTTTTATGTTTTTTCATGTTTTCTTTCTTTTTTGAAAAATGTTCATGATTTTCCAAAAATATTTATAAAATTTGACAAATGTTTTTCTATCTCATAAATTATTCAAAAATCCAAAATGGATAATAAATAATTTGTACTTAAAAATGCTGTGAGTTTCACATTTTGTTTAGAAATTGAAAAAGTTTCTGTTTTTAAATGTTGGTCACTTTTTAAATTTTATTCACAAATTAAAAATGTTCTGAATTTCAAAAAATGTTCCCATTTTTTAAAGTCTGTTCATAAATTCAAAATATGTCATTGTTTTCAAATTTTGTTCATAAATTCAAAAAATGAATGCAAGTTTGGGAAATTGCTCACAATAAAAAAACACAATTTTCAAGAAATGTTTGATAAAGTGCTAAAATTGTTCGATCTGTCAGGGTAGATAGTTCTTTAAAGTTTCATGATGTTTATTAATCACCAACTCTATCAGCTCTATTGTGTTGCAACACGCGCTAAGCAGTGATAGAGCTCCCATGTGAGCGGCTTTTTTGACGTGATACAACGATGCGTCTACCAATGGGCAGGCACATTCCGGGGCTATAGCCTGTGCAACATGCAGAAATTGGCCGCAACGAGTTTCTAGACAAGCCGAAACCCGTAGATAGCAACAATCCACATCAGTGTGAAAGTCCCTACATAATTTTACAACAGACAACACATAATAAAACTTAAATAGTCTAGTTTAAAAAAACTTAAATGGGCTAATGGGGAGAATTACGAGAACCTAGTTTGGGAAACAACCGAAATAGGGCCAAGACAGCTGAGGTAAGGTGAATGATACCAAACTATAACTCATCTAGATGAGTTCTAGACATTCCCTAAGAAATATCTGAACGAAAAGATGTTGATGAACCCCCTTGCGCCTACATCCTCTATCAAACCATGCGTCAAGGTCTATGCCTAAAATATTGCAAAACTCTTAATGACAACAGGATGATCTTTACTCTCGTCGAGCAGTCTCCACTGCGTGCCATGTGCGCCTGTGGGGTCGGCCCACAGCTCCCCACCTTATATCTATTTGTAGAGCCATCTCTTCCACACGTTTCTCCCCCCCTTTCGTCTTCTCCGCCGCGCGCAAGCAGAGGAGAGGCCCCCACGATGAGCACCACCACCGCCGCCTACTTCAACCAGAAAACCCTCTAGTAGCCCGGCCTTCCTATTCACCCTCGAATTCGACCCCCTCTGCCAAATCTTCCTTCCCGTGAGGAGTTGCCGCTGCCTGCCCTTTGCTGCCCCGCACGTCGGAGCTCACCAAGGCGATGTTTTTGTTCGTTGATTGTTGCCGACGCTGCAAGCCGGTGATGCAGCAGCTCGCCGACTATTGCCGGCGCTGCAAGCCGAGGGCGATGCAGCACCTTGTCGACTGTTGCGGCGCTGCAAACGAGATGGCTGAAGGATCATTGGCACTGTAATGCAGCAATCTTCGGTCTTGCGGAAGGTTCGTGATGTGAGCTGGACTACAAGGAGGTGTCCTCGTGGTGCGCGGAGGGTGGCGCCGCTGGCACTACAACGACGAAGCTGCAAGAGTGATCAGTCATGGTGTTGCACTCTATGATATCTCTGTTGTACATGCAGTGTACTTCATTTGCCTTTTTAGCATAACAACCCCATCACTCATCTTTGTACATAACTTTGATGATTGTTAATAGAAAATTACCGTAGAACAATTTTTCTACGGTCAAAGCCTAAAAAAAACTCAACACTCATCTTTATTATTAATCTTGCATTTTTAATACTCCCCGCGATTCATATTAATTGTTGCTAATTTTGTATAACTTTATATTAAAATTGTACTAAATCAACAACAATTAATATGGATGGTTGGGAGTACATTTTTTGATTTCTTTTTGCATCCCGGGTGCAACTGCATCCTCAAGCCAAAACATCTTTTTTTTGTGTGGAAACATAGATATTTATACTGATGTATTTCTTTTGTTCATTTGCATGTACATACATATGTCGGAACATTTATATGATAGTCCGATTACTTGATTCAGAACCATAGTTTTCACTTATCCACGTCCTTCAAGCTGAATAGGGACAAGTACATTTTTTGTCGTCCTTCGTCTATAATAACAATGCTCGATTTCATGTTTCCTTCTATACATAAAAAAGTACAACTACACTAATTAGGTTGCAGTTCTGATTACCATGTATACGTGTTGCTGATTCTTCTATTGGGCATGTGATTCCTTTTAAATGTTTCTTGGAAGTCCATATTTTATTCTATTTTCATTCTGATTGTCACATAGTCGCATTTTTTCTCTTAATTCATGATGTATAATTACCGGTTAGGAGAAAATTGCCTGCCAAGTTCGCGTACATTTCAAACACTTCCAATATTAACACGAAAAGTTTTCGGTTTTCTTAGTATTTTCGAATTTTCAAAGTCACTAGCCCGTGCGGACGCCCGGGTTGATGACTAGTATACACAAATTGGTATAGACCATGGGTAATATACCATATTCCATTTTCTAAAAAGCTATGCATAAATATATCAAAGCAAGAGTGATCAATCATGGTATTGCACTCTGTGATGTCTCGGTTGCCCATGCAGCGTATTTCATTTGAATCCTTTTTAGCATAACGACCACATCGCTCATCTTTATCCTATCGCAAGGCGAGTCATTGGAGCAGAGCAAACCAACTTCCAATACCGGCAGAAGAAAGTTACCGTGCAAGTTGCAACTTGAGGAGGAGCCTTGCAGTAGCCGGGCATCAACGACATGGGTCAGCTCTGCGGGAAATGACTGGTAAACCCATCGCCTAAGGCTTAGTTCTCCGACGAACATAGCATCTGTAGGCTTCCTTCCAGTAAAAACTTCAAGGAGCATTATTCCGTAGCTAAACACATCACTCAGTCGTGATGCTTTTCCATATGACCCATACTCTACATAAGCAAAAGATGAACACAGATTTCAACATGACTCATGAGTCTAACAAGAAATGGATATATACATATTAAGCAATATAGCCAATCTTAAGTACCTGGTGACATGTATCCAATTGTACCACGCATGTTTGAAGAGATCGTTGAGCTATCCTCACATTGTAGTAACCTTGCAATGCCAAAGTCTGCCACATGTGCAGTCATGTCCTCATCAAACAATACATTGCTAGGCTTCAAGTCACAATGCAAAACCACTTCATGGTATCCATGGTGCAGATACTCCATTGCCATCGATACGTCAAGCATAGCGCCTAACCTCTCACGAAACCCGAATTGTCTTGCCCCATCTTCTGAGTGGTGAAGTAGCATGTCTAAGCTGCCGTTGGGCATGTACTGCAACACCAGTGCTATGAAGTCCATGTTATAGCATGTGTTAATTACCCGTATCAGGTTGCGGTGACGCGCCATGCGGAACACACGACATTCCGCTTCAAAGCTCTTAACGCTGTGCCTGGACCGCATATCGAGAACCTTTATTGCAACCACCAAACCGCTGCTCAGTTGGCCCTTAAAAACTTTTCCAAAGCCCCCAGATCCCAACATGTGATCTTCACTAAAATTATCTGTGGCGCGGACAAGATCGACATGAGAGATTAACTGATGGCTTACCGGGTCTTCCATATCAATAGAAGCTTCGACCTTGCCTTTCTCAAGTTTCTTTCCGATTGATAGGCACCAAGAGTAGAAGCAAAAAGCAGTAGCGCCAAGAGCTATAGTGGCACCCGGGAGTATGATTATCAGCAAACTGGAGGCCATTGGGGTTTCACTTTGTTTGATCTATGTGTCTGTACGTATTTGCTGGAGTGTTGGTTGCTGCATCGGTGGAGCCTGGATGTGCTTATATTGATGGATGGCCCGGGTGAAAAGGAAGCTAGGTAGACAGAAAAGTCATGGTTGGCAGGGATTGCAATTTACGGAGATGCCCCTGATTGAGCCCTGGCTCGGTCAATGCTGGCTGAAAAATACTATGTGGCAGTGTGTATACATACGTAGCTTCGTTCTATCGATGAGCCCCTTCGCAGATGGTCTTTGTAAATTGGTAAATGTTTAGGAACGGCCGGCCGGCCAGCAATTGGGCCGATCGCGCGGGCGTCCTACGAATGGCGCTTTATCCATCGGTTCTCAGGTCTGCCGTCTGCGTTGGGTCGAGGCAACCAATCCATCGTATCGTATGTATAGCAGCCTTCCCTGTCCTCCACACACTGCCCTTTCTCCCCTCAACTTTATCTACAGGGTGAGACAAAACCAGGGCCGTCTCTAGAAATTTGAGGCCCCGGTGCGAATTTTAAGACGAGGCCCTAAAATTAAAAAATGACGTGCGTCGTAGCCTCCTAAATGGATGACGACGACCACTTACAAAAATAGTGGTGGACAACAAATGTTTTTTTTAGCATGGCAAAATTTGTAGCATCGATTTAAAAAATATATTTATTTTTTTCAAAAAAGGAGGACTCCCCGGCCTCTGCATCATCAGAATGATGCATATGGCCAATTTTATAAATAAACAAATAGGTTCAATAAGGTCTAAAAGTCTGAAACAAACTAACACATCAAACTCACAAAGAGCTAAAGAGCCAAAAACACACTAGCCAAAAAAAGGCCATAACCGGCTGGCATAAGCAAGATTGGAAAACTAATTGCCTATCCTATTACATGATCGCCATTCTAATCGGTTGAAGATATCCCGTGCTACCATCTCCCATCGGATAGATTTAGTAACCAAACGCTCCCTGGCCTTCGTCGGAGTGAGTAGCGACCACATACGGATCAACGCAGTGACTCGGAAAATAACCTGCAAAAAATGAATATTTTGTTGTCCTGTTAAAAAACCAAATCATTTTTGCAGTTCCATACTGCCCACAATAAAGCACATACTCCTACACGAATGTGTCTCGCTGTTTCGGACTCTATCGCATTAAGCCACGTTCCAAATAACGTGCTGACAGAATTCACAGGAGTAATGTTAAAGGCTATGTGCACTGTCCGCCATAAAACTTTGGCCAACGGGCAGTCAAGAAAAAGGTGTTTGATACTTTCATCCCGATCACAAAAACTACACCTAGTAGGTCATGTCCAGTTACGCTTTGCCAAGTTATCCTTAGTTAAAATGACATGTTTATGTACAAACCACATAAACACTTTAATTTTCAAAAGAACTTTGACTGTCCATACAAATTTAGAAGTAGGAATGGTGCTAGAGTTGATAACATCGAGATACATCGATTTAACTAAGAACTCTCCAGACCTAGTAAGCTTCCAGCGCAACTGATCGGGCTGTTGGGATAGCTGAACCTCCATCAGTCTACTCACTAAATGAAGCCATACTTTCCAATGATTGCCGGCAAGCGTCCTCCTAAACTGAATATTAAGGGGGATGGACTGCAGTATTGTTGCAACATAAGCATCACGTCATTGAACAATACTATAAAAGGACGGGTACTGAAGCGTGAGTGGCGTCTCTCCTAGCCAAGTATCTTCCCAGAATCGCGTAGTTGTACCATTACCGACTATAAACTTTATCCTATTCAAAAAGGCTGATTTGACTCTCATGAGCCCCTTCCAAAAAGGCGAGTCCATGGGTCTCACTGTCACATGGGACAAAGTTTTGGACTAAAGATACTTACTATGGAGAATTTGCGCCCAGGTGGCATCGGTCTCAACAGATAACTTATACAACCACTTGCTGAGAAGACATCTGTTCTTGACCTCAAGATTCTCAATACCAAGACCCCCTTGGTATTTTAGTCGACAAATAATATCCCATTTGGCGAGCGTGTATTTTCTCTTTAGTTCATCGCCCTGCCAGAAGAATCGGGATCGATAGAAGTCCAGTCTTTTCCTAACTCCAACTGGGACTTCGAAGAAAGACAACAGGAACATAGGCATACTCGTGAGCACTGAATTAATAAGAATTAATCGGCCTCCGTATGACATGAGCTTGCCCTTCCAGCAGCTCAGTTTCTTCTCAAAGCGATCATCGATACACTTCCATTCTCTGTTTGTCACTTTACAATGGTGAATGGGTATACCTAAATATGTAAAGGTAAAGTCCCCAGTTTGTACCCAAACAATTGCCTATAAGCCTCTTGTTCCTCATTGGCTCTTCCAAAACAGAACAACTCGCTTTTATGGAAGTTAATCTTTAACCCGATCAATTGTTCAAATAAGCATAACACCAGATTCATATTTCTCGTTTTTGCCAAGTCATGCTCCATAAAGATGATCATATCATCAGTGTACTGTAGGATAGACACACCTCCATCTACTAGATGAGGCACCAAGCTACCCACCTGACTAGCCTCCTTAGCCCTTCCTATTAGAATTGCCAACATATCAACGACGATGTTAAACAAAATAGGAGACATCAGATCACCTTGTCTCAGGCCCTTAAGTGTCTGGAAATAATGATGTATGTCATCATTCACTTTAATTCTGTCACGACCGGTTTTCCAATAAAAATATTTATTGATAAACCAGTCTTTTGAGTCCAGTATGAGAGAAATCCTCCTCACTGGTAGACAATTTCTTGATACAATAAGCCAGTAGCATAAAATATATTACAGGGTTGAACTGCGGTCGCTCAACTAAATTATTACAAGCACGCCAATAATCATACATAATGGCGGACAGGACACAGTGGTGTGGAGACATACTACTGACTCATGGATAGGTTGGGGGTGGAAAAGCACAGCGGGAAGGGAAATACAAGACTCTAATGATATCATTTCATCGAACGTCGAGGTGAGGCTCGATAAATTTATTTGGTAGCGGAAGCGGTTATAAAACAGTGGCCCAATCCAGGGTCGCACAAGACTGACTGGGACTCCTCTAAGTGTCGGACTCGCTATCGAACTCTTCATCCATGAGATCGCCTTTGTCAGCATCTGGCCAAATCAACAAGCCAGTGAGTACTTTGAAAGTACTCGCAAGACAGTTTGGACATAAGATATAACAAATGCATGCATGGATGCAACATGATTAATTCCTTAATGCACAATAAATAAAATTGGCATAACGGGTAAGTAAAAAGGGAAAACGGCGGTAGTCCACCTGAAATTCCACAGACATAAATAAGGACCGATCGAGTGTCTGAAACGACGCCTCGAAAGGTGAACAAATGCAAATAAGGAAATGATGCCACAGTCGGGCATCTTAGCGACACCACATAAAGGGCTTTAAAAGAAATGCCACAGTCGGACATCTGAGCGACATCGCGTAAAGGGCTTTTAAAAGAAATGCCACAGTCGGACGTCTGAGCGACATCGCAGAAAGGGCTTTAAAAAGAATACCACAGTCGGACGTCTGAGCGACATCACATAAAGGGCTTTTAAAAG